AAGATGTAAAAAACGGGAAAATTTCCACAAATTTTAAGGCACAAACTGGTCATCAGCCGAGCAGCTCAGCTTCACATATCCACTGTACAGACCAGATGTGTTGTTTCCTTATGTTTCCTCCATTTAGTCGTCTGTGTCTCATTTTTCACTTCAAATGAGAAACGGCTCAGAATCAGAGCACCTATTATCCACAGTCATTTACAGATTGAAAAATAAGCTTTCAGATGCAGTTTGCCGTCATCACACACACACACACACACACACACACACACACACACACACACACACACACACACAGACGGCAATAAAGGCACAAGTCAGAGCTGTGGCTTTATTCCGTAATGACCGGGATGCATCAGAGTCATCTCAGCCTGATTAGACCTCCGCTTATTAAATCGCAAAAAAGCAGAATTAGTCGTTGGGAGGGAAAAAAGACGAATGTTTTTGTCATCTGCGTCTGTCCCACGAGGACAAACCGCCCACCGTCTTTTACATAAGAGGCCCCGCGGAGCGTCGGTGCAAAGCAAACAAGGGAAGGTGTGATCTGGCCCCGACCCCGGTCTGGAAATGGAAACAGGGATCCAACGCTCCTGTCACGCTTCGCTTCCAGACCAGCACGTTAAAGGAGGGCGACGGCAAACAAACACACACACATCTGCGAGGAGACAGATGTAGCAGGAGGGGGAAGAAAATAAAGAAATAAAAAAAATAAGAGAGAGAAGTGAGATGGTGTTAGTCCTGTGGAGCAGATAGGAGAGGAGGGAAGTGACAGGTGGAGGTGATAATATGCACAGCGCCGGTACTATTACACACATCTCTATATATATACATACACTCTGCTGCTTGTATCACACATCACAACCTTGTCAGGCAGCAATTTGCAGCTATCAGCAGCCAAACAGGAACTAAATCAAATCCTTGAAAGCAGAAAATATTTCAGAGGCGGGTTTTCTGCAGCTGATTTGAGAGTAAAACACCAAAACGTGAATGCAGTGCTGATTGCTGCTCCTCGTTTAGGAGGATTACAGATAATAGTTGCTGCTCGACTCCCCTCTTCTTGCTCTCCTGCTGCTCTCGGCCCGGTTTGGCGTGACGGGTGGTGGCGGTTGACTCATGGCTGACATTTGCTGACACGTTACAGGACTGTCGTGTCTCCTCGCCGCTCCGTGTCAACACGGCCTACAGTTCAGCCCAGAGGCCTCTGGGTTCTGTTGGTCACCACTGAGTCACTGATGGGTTCACGGTCGCACCGAGGAGCGGGGACGTTTGGGTTTTTA